TATATAATAAAGTACTTATATTTTATTATATGTTATTATAAAAATTACTTATATATAAATTTAAAGAAAATTAAAGAGAAAATGCTGTGTGTTAATACATATCTCAAATAATCGAGTATAATAATAATAGTAATCAAACAATTAGCGCGCGCGCGCTTGGACACGTACCATATTGTATTTTGCACAGTTATGTTGTTTACTTATTTTTTACTTTTTATTTATTATGTTTAGGTGTAAATAATACGATGCATCCCAGAGCAGAGCCGCAGTCATCAAGCACATCTGATGACGACCCTAGCGGATCAGATGAGACTGACAACTCGTCGCCGAATATGTCGCCGAATCACCGCAATCCACGAAACACGGCGACTCAAAATCAAAACGCCGGCATTAACCGAAGACGGCGCGGTAATTTGCCAAAGGAAGCCGTCATAATCCTGAAGCATTGGTTGTCGGAGCATAAATACAACGCGTATCCGAACGAGAGCCAGAAAGAGACGCTGAGCCGCTCAACCGGCCTCTCGAATTTACAGGTAAATATTTTATTTTTATTAACATTTTGCCTTCTCGTTGCACAAACTGGCGTACAGGCAGATCGAATCGAGCCTACTAGCCAAAAAAAAAAACAAAAAAAAATCATTTCGTTAAATCTTTTTACTTGTTAAAGATGTCGTAGTGACTCGATAAGCTTTGTGCGACTCGATACAATTATTATTATTTTGTTTTTAATCTCTTTTTAATCTCTCTTTTGCTCCTAATGCCGCTATTCGGCACCCACAAAGTAATTCATCAAGATTAACGCCTGTTGTATCCGGCATTTGCTAAATATCATTCTTTTTATTAAATATAATTTAGTATATACGAGAGCGTAAGAATTTGGAAAATACGAGAACTGTCTATCTCAGGAGCGCCCAATCTCTTGCGGGTTGCATTTCACGTTGTTTATAGACTCGCTGTTTAAATTGACATCTTTGAAACAAAATAGACATCTCCGGTATCTACGCGTACATTGTGTACTTATGGAACGACGTCTCGTCCAGCGGTGACGCGCTGATGACTAATTTTACCGGCGCGAAGGGATTAATGAATTTGCTGTTATTTAAATTCTAATAACAAGCTCGTAAACTAATTTTTTTATTTTCATTGTTCTGAGCAAGATTTATTTTTAATTCCTATAATATGAAAATCTGTCCTAAAAGGGATATTCATTTCATTGCCTAACGTATACACATTTTGCCTGAATACCTTGAGCGAGATGTGCCACATCACAACACATTTCAACAACTATTGATCAAAACCAGTTTGTAAAACTAGGGGAATTTTTTTCTTAAGTCTACAACAGTAGATCCGCCATCATGAGATCCAAATGATCAGTCGGTTGGTCAGTAAGATCGGGTGATTATATAACTTTTATTCCTGTGGATTCTTGTATAATTGACTATTTCATCTCTCACGGTAAGTAGATTCAAATCGTGTAGTTTCATTTGTAAATGTACCAAGAGTTCATCAGAAATAATCTTTAACATTTTTCACTGGAATCTTTGTATAATTTCAATTAGACGAAGTGGTTCTCCATAACTGTGAATACCATAGATCCAAATAGGTCGATATGACTTTATATATCAATAATTTATTATCAAAAACTAAGTTTAGAGTTACGACCCAGTATCCAATACATGTTCCGTAACTTAATTCCTGTTTTGAAGGGTGATAGAAGCTATTGTATAATCGAAATGAGATACCAATTAAATAAGATACCAATGAGATACTAATTAAAACAAACCGGTCTGTAGGCAAGTCAGCTTGTAAAGAACAGGTATAGCAGGGATTCCAATATACGCTAACCTGCGGTACTCTATCTCGAATCGAATAGAGTCTAGTATGGATTTCTTCATAAAATGTCCAACAAATGGCAATCAGCAAGATGGGATCTTAAAAATAGTATAAAAGCAGTTTGGGAGATTCATTTTAACTTCGAACGAAGACGCGCATCGGGCCATATACGATATAGAAAGCTTGTGAAATATCAGAAGAGCAATATTTTGTCTTCTTGAGAGAAGAACTTCGTGTGTTAAAAAACTTATGAATTTAATCAATTGTGCCATGTTTCTGTCGAGTCCAAACTGATCTAATCTAGAATTAAATTCGTTTCTTTTATAAATGGCATCATTCTCGAAGGTAATAAGGATTCAAAAATCTTAGCTAGTATAGGCAACAGACTGGATTGGTCTGTAAGACTTTGGGATTGTCAAGTCTTTTGTGTCAGGTTTGGGTATCATTTTCGCTCGAGCAACTTTAGGAAGTTTCTAAATTGACAGTTACGAGCTCTCTTAATCGGGAGCTTTTTCTTTTTTCATTCGAACTTCCTGACAACTGCCATGATCTCGGACTTTGAGAAGCTTTTTTGAATTTGTTTATCCAAATAGACCAAGGCATTAGAGGTGCTCAATATATATTAAATTCGCGTTCAGGTGTATCCTCATACAGGTGAAGATTTTATTAAAAAGGTGTTCAGCAAAAGTTTGAGCCTTCTCAATATCTAGCTTCGAGCTCACTTACCATTGTCGCATCGCAAGAGAGAAGAGGTAATTAATGTTGCCTTTTATCGCAACTGTTTTAGTTTTCTCCAGTCTTTCCGAAGAGAGTAGTCAGTGGCAGCGGAAGCATCTAATTTGTTGTAAATACATTTGAGACACTGTAGTTTTTTTTCTATATATTAAGAAGCCCAGCTTCTTCAGAGAGTAGATTTTCCAGGACACTGCCTAGCTTACCACCTGGGTAACTTCCGCATATGTTTTATCCGTTGTTCGTTAGTTAGTTTTGATCCACTCCAGATATTTTATTTCCCTGGTTATTTCAATAAACGAACTGACGAGCATTCCCCAAATCCGTTACCTGGGAAAGGCGTCCGATGACGGACCAGCAACGGAGAGCGAGATATAAATTTTGTATTTTTCTGAAAAAAAAAATAAAAGAATTTTTTCAAACTTTTTTTCTAATATTTTAAAGTTCAATACAACGTACGTACATTACGTTGGATATTAATGACTCAAAAAAAAAAAAAAGACGATTTGTTAGTGGGTTTACTTTCTTATTCGAGTTTAGTTTTTTTTTTTTTTTGCTTACCTCGGCATCAATTCGCTAATGGCACGTTTGGTGTCGGATGTTACAGGTGTGCAATTGGTTTATCAACGCTCGACGACGAATTTTGCCCGAAATGATCCGCAGAGATGGCAAAGACCCCCAGCAATTTACGATATCGCGGCGCGCTCGCCGCGTACAACCTGCCGGTGCTATTCGTCAGGGACGTCGAACACCTCCAATGGAGGAGGAACCAATGGAAGCTGAAAACGTCCCGATAAATCAAAATTGGAACTTACCGGGCATCGAAGCAGAAGCTAGAATCGCGGGGGAAGAACAACGCGAGCCGCATCGTGACTACGATGAGGAACCCTCTTTTAGCAGGCAAGTTATCATTTATTTAAGTTATTATTTACTTAAAAAATTGCAAATTTTTTTAAAATCGAAGGATAATAAATATAAAATATTCTCAAAATAGAACCAAGAAGAATTCGGTCAGAAAAACTGATAACTAATATTCAACTAATATTTTTCTATTAAAATTTTCTAATTAAATATCATTATTTTTATCTCGTAATTTTTCTAATTAAATATCATTACATACGATATGTAATTCAGATAAGTGGATATATGTATGCATATACAAATGTATACAAAGTGTATGAAAAATTTTTACACAGCCGAACTGCGAAGATTGATTGTAGGAGTAATCTGAACCGAAAAGTCGTGTATCATTTTGCAAACTTCGCAATAGTTATTGATTAATCGCCACTTGCTTGTGTTTTTGCTCTGTTTTTCTTGTTCTCTTCATTTCTCAAGAGATTACATAAAGTAAGCCGTTCTTCTTTACAATACTGAAAATCATACACGGTCCTACTGAGGTAGGACCATTGCTTCCCACGTGCTTATTCGATATTACATTGGATATTAATTAATTACTCAATAACTATTGCGAATTTTGTAAAATGGTACATGACTTTTTTTTGGTTCAGATTACTGCCTTCACACTGTGCCAAAACTTTCAGACACCCCGTATATATACAGGGTATTTTGCGAATCTCGCAAAAGTGGTAAAGAACTTTTTGACTCAATATAATCACTCACGAGAGATTGTGTGTATACAATCACGGAACATCCTGTATATAGTAGCAAATATATTAATATTTTCTAAATAAAATTATTTTATTATTTAAATTTTGCAAGAGTAAGTGACAAACACATCTATAAAATATTATTAACGAAATAAAAAAGTAAACGTATCCGAGAAATATTACGTACATCTTCTTGTACGTAACATTTATACATATGTAAGAAAAATTACGTTACATATGTATAAGAAGAATGAGATAGGTGAAAAAAAAACTAGATATATCACACAAGATTTGCTTCCGCAGAAGCGAAGATAGTCCGAACGATTATGAGAGCAGTCTCAATGGGTATCACAGTGAAGAGGATCGCCCTTCGATACGGTGGCCCAACGTAATCGTTCGCCCGTATGCGGAAGCCCAAGTCGAGCAGTTAGACGACAGTGCTGTCTCTCATCTTCCTGCTCGACCAAGGCAAGTTCAACCAAAAGAAAGCATATTTTTTTTTTTTGCAAAAATTTGCTATTGCTTTCTAACGGTTTGTGAGCGTCCAACATTTGCTAAGCAGATCGCATACTAATTCTTTTTTTTTTTTTTATTTTGTCCAGCAAAATATAACTGAAACTAATTAAAACATGACTAACAATAAATAACACGCGTATTTTTTTGATAAAATACGATTGTGTTATATGTTGTGTGTGTTTTTCTTATGTTTGTAATGTAAATGTAACGTCTATTTTGTATGTATATACAGAAATACCACCAGTCCTGAAAGTTCCTCAAGCGAAAAATCACCACCTGAACCTGCTGCTTATTGGAGCGCCCCGCGAGAACATCTTTTGGCTGCTCCTGAAGTTCAACAACAGCAACAAATTGAAATCGACAGTCGCGGCATGCCACCCGGCAGTCTTGAAAATGCTTTTTTTTATCAGGATAACGGCGACTCTCTGCATATGTTGGTGGAACTGGCCGTCGCCAGACCTTATGCTCTTCAAAACACATCGAACAACAGAAGAGAATAAGTAAAAACTTTGTCACGATTTCTAATCCCAGAATCCATCTCATTCGATTTATGTTGAATTTCTTTTCGAGAAGCGTAAATAAATCACGCTACAAATATATCTATGTACAACATGTATTGTACATACATGAATTACAATTATAAATATTAGCGTAATGATGAACTCTTTAAAATGACACGTTGTAATAAAATGATAAATATTTCTAAATACTTGTTTGTGCCACTGCATGCGCCTAAAAACGTAATCTTTTTTCTTGGAGCTTGGATTAAAGTTGAGACGTTTGCCGTATTTTAAGTGAACGATTAGATATGCAATATGATTCTTATAATAATTAAAATAAATGCTGGTAATGCGCTACTGCAGCGGCAACAACATCACGGCTTTCGAAAAAATTTGTGTGAATTGTGTTTCTCATGTCTTCATTTTTATCATTGGAAGATTTATTTTTAATGCATAACTGATACAATTTTTGTACTTTTGTGAAAAACTAAATTGTCATTTACATATCCACTATTCTTTTCAGTCTCTTTCTTTTACCTTCTTTTTTGTTCAAATTTTTAAATTTGTTTCCGAATAAGAGAGAGAGAGAGAGGGAGAGGGAGGGAGGGAGAGAGAGAGCATATGACAGAGCTTGACATTGTAATGATATAAACGAGAGAAAGCACAAAATTCTCTGAAACACTTTTTTTTAGAGATCGACGACTGTTATCGTCGCATCAAAGAACAAATTTATACAATCGTCCACTTAAAATGTGAATTTTAATTTGTTCTGAAAAAAAAAAAAAATTAGAGAGAGAGAGAGAGAGAGAGAGAGAGCCGTTATTTTAGGTATGTACGAGCGGTAACGCTATCAAAAAAACAATAGCGCGTCAAAAAGAGAGTCAAGAGTCGTCGCCGCCGCCGCGACGTGTTACGACGTGTCGTTTTAAAAAGATTTCTAAATCAACATATTGTATTTTTACTTTTTCGATTAGTAACCAATATTTAAATGACGAGGTCATAAAGGACTTCCGTCCTTTATTTACATGTAATGACATAAAACGACACGAAAAACGAAAAACTTCTGATTTCTATCAGCAAAATATAATAAGATCTGAATAAACATATCTATGTGATAAGAAAAAAATAAATGCTCACTTAGCACAGGGGAACGCTATTTCTAGAGCAGTTAGTATATCAGAATGGTATATAAACCAGTGACACACACATGCAGGGATAAAAACAAAGTAACCAAAACCAACGAGTGCCAAAGTGTCAGCCGAGCATTATGGAACTCCGCCTTAAGAGAAACAAGTCTGAAACAGTTATATAAGCATTTTATTAAAAAAAAAAACTAAAAAAAAAAAAACGAAATAAACAAACTGTACAAGTACAAAATAAATATTCGCTCTTCGTACTATACTTACTGTAGAGACGTTGTTAGTTAGACTAGAATCCCCCCCCCCCCAAAAAAAAAAAATTTTTACGCGGCCTAGAGAGATCCTATATTGAAACTATTATATTACTTCTAGCAATAGCGTTCCTGCTCACACAAATGTTTTTCTCGATTTTTACGTTAATTATATATTGAAATGTAGATTTATATATTTCGATATATATATATATTATAAATTATGTATATCCAACTTTATATATGCGAATTTATAAAGAAAACGCGGACTTAAAATTATGAGACTGTAAAAAAAAACAAAAAACAGCACATATATAACACGCGTGTGCGCGCATATGTATATGTGTGTACATATATGCGTGCGCACGTTTTTTTTTTTTTTACGTATATAAGTCAGCCAAATCCGTTTTTGTGAAAAAAATACGGATCTTAGAGACGAATCTTCTAGGAATTGCATTAACACAGAATGGTTTACAACATCAACATGTTTACATTTATATAAGTTCCATTTGTCGGAGATGTATCATTTTTATACGTTTGTTGTTGTCTCCGGCAATATCTTAAAAGCTTTCCGATTGCCTTATTTCAGTTCTCGAGTCGTTTTTTTTTTTTTTTTGTAGTTTAACTGTCATTTAATATGGCTCTAGAGATATTATTATAAATATTTTCTTTTTGCCTTCGCAGTTCGCATTTATGTGTCGCGTTGTTGTATACGAATCGTACTTTGAATCAAAATTATATAACGATATACCAGGGTAATGCATTTGCGCATATAAATAAATCGAAATCCAGAGACCAACGCTCTTTTCTCGTTTGCGTGAACACGAATTGATAAAAAAAAGAAATAACAAAATGGAATAAAATTATGGGAAAGCTTTACACACACATCTATACGCAAGATGCGATCGAAATAATGGGTGCAACCGAGAAATAGGTAATTAAATAACTCGAAAGTGCGGAATATAAAAAAACGTTTTCTAAACTAAACGACAAAATGATAAATAAAGAATTACAAAATGACGAAAAATTTAATAAATAAAAAGTTAAGAGAAATAGAATTTTATTTTTTCGCATTTTTGACTTATTTTTGTATAAAGAATTACCTTTATCTCGGTTTTCTTTTCTGTTGTACCAACTTGCATTCGATTGCATTCTGTTTATAAATAGTTTGAGAAACACGAAAAAATGGCGCGCGTGCACACACACAACTACACACACGCAATACACAACATATATTTTGGGAAACAAAAACCAAAGACTATTTGTTTTTTTTTTTACAATTATTAATTGTGTTTTATAAAGAATAGGCGTGATCTTTTGTCGTTTTTCTAGAAAAATTATCTCTGCTACACGTTTATGGCAGAGATGTTTTGTAAAAAAAAAAAACGACAAAAGATACGTTCCCGTTAAGCGAAAACGTTTTGCTGAGTATGTAAAGAAAGTATGTGCGATTGTAACATTTATAACGTTAAGGTGAGATTGAGAAAACTTTCCCCAATTCTGATGCGAAAAAAATTAAGATCGCAATTAAGATCGCGCTTGAGAAAAGTTTTTGCTAAGTGGTATGTAATAACGTTTGTTAGCAAGCTCGTTACGTAAACCTCTATCGGGATTCTTTGGGATTTTATGAAAAGATGTGAACTTGTGTTCATTGACACAGTTGTTCGATGTATTAGACAACTGAAAATAAAAATATATTTTAATATACCGCAATAGTCACATATATATATATATATAAATATACATATATTACAATAATAAGATAGAAAAATTTCTAGCAGTTGTGGAAATTTTTGTTAAGATAAAAACTATAGAAAAAGCGGTGTGATAGAATTTGACGCAAAAGTGAGAAAAAAGATTATTGGCAGGCGGAGAAAAAGAAGAGATTGACGGAAAGGGAATGACAAGAAATTGACAAAATGCAGTGATATTATAATTTTCATATCGCAAGATGAAATTACAAATTTTCAACGTAAATGTTAGCTATAATAATGATAACAATAAACCCGATCTACTTATTGTCTAATTAAAAAACTTATATTTGCTACATAATCAAGACAAGATTCCACGAATGGCAACTTTTCAAATAAAAATTAGATTGTGCAAAGTATAAGAGAATAATAAAAGACGGATATTTACATTTTACATTTTTTTAAACAAGAACAGAAAAAAGTCAAAATGAGATGTAGGAACAGTTTTCATCTTGTGAAACACATTATTGTTGCAAAAAAAAAAAAAGAGAGCTAACGACGCTAAAGCAAAGTGTTTAAAAATCTTCTTTTTTTACGCTATAAAGAATTTTTCATTATTGTTTCTTTTCGAGGAAACTTTTTGAGAAACTCTTTTGAACATTACAAAATTCAAATTGTTTCTCGAGACGTCAGAAACATCGTTCTTTTCGTGGCAACGCTTTTTTTTTTTTTTTTTTTTTTTTTTTTTTTTTTTATGCTTTCACTCGTACATTATTCTTCTGATTTGTTCTTTTCTGATTTTTTTTTTTTATTTCATTTTTTCCTGTCCCGTTTTAAACAAGTAACAAGCAGTTGATTTTGCTCGCTGTTTTAAGTTTTTCGTTTGCTCTTCATCTTTTCCCTTTAATTTTTTTTATGTTATCGTGAAAAGAGAGACACGTTTAAAAAAAAAAAAAAAGAAAAGAAAAGGAAATTAGGTTGTGAAATTAAGATTGGAGTCGCTGAGGAAATCCGGCTTTTTTTTTAAGTCGGCAACAAGTCAGAGATTCCTATCGGGGGATATATATAAATATATACCCGATAGATAGATAGAGAAAAGAAAGAGGAAAATCAGAGGGATATATACGCGACACATCCCTCGACTGTAAATATTAGGACAGAAAAACAGAGTTGTGGGTTTACATTTACATCTGGGGGATTTATATACGTAATATTGTTTAATAAGAATTTGATAACAGAGATGATAATAGAGATTAGTACACGGGCGAGAAGAAAAATTTGAAAAACTTTGATTTGAACAAGATGATTTTTACAGGATGTCTTTCTTCGAAAAGGAAAACAAACACATGTGTACACTATATATAAATTTGCGAATAACGAGACATCCTATATATATATATGTGCGTGCGTGATGCGGGATCGTTGTTAAAAAAACTTTTTTGTCGCGATTGATGAACTTGCTTATCTGTCATATAAGTGGCGGTACGTCGAGTGTCCTAATCTCTCAAATAATTCTCCGTCTGTTAGAGAACGCGCGTTATTGCTAATTAATTTTGTATATTGAACACATGTACAAGACATTTTTACAAGGATCTCGATCCGGCTAGTGTACAAAAAAAAAAACTTAAACGAACTGTAGAATTAAGCGTGCCTTTATATATCCCAACTTTTTTTCGGGATGTCACTTAGCGACTATTGTACAACAACGACGTTGAAACAATTCACCTGATAATAATGGCGAACGCACTTAACAAATCCGTTATTACAATATATATCGAAGACAACTTTCGACAACGAAGCGAACAAGAAGAAGAACGACAAAAATTCGCGCGTTTCTGCTCATCTAATCGATTAGAATTTAAGACTCTTCCGGAAAAGTGTTACTTGGTAAGAACGACAAGTATATATGTACTTACTGTGTGTTCAGTTAGAATCTGCGAAAAATATGCTCGGCACCACGTCGATGTTCGTGCTCGTCTCGGTCTTTTCACACACCTCAACATCGCGCGTAATATTATTGAACAAAAACAAAACAAAAAAAAACACTGAGATTAACACAAATATCGACGTGGCAATAAGATTTTTAAATTTGTTTTTTTTTTTTTTTTTTTTACCGTTGAATTTTTCTTCCGTCAGAAAATCGCAAGATAAACTGGCCCGAATCGATGCAGCGCGCGTGACTGATTTTTTTGTTATTTGAAGAAATTTTGTATCGCTTCGCGTCGCGTCTTCTGTTATACGTCGCCTTGTGTGTTATTTGATTCTCGTCGTCGCGAATGATATAACCGTTTTGACTGTGCTGTACTCGCGGGGCCGCGAATAATCAGGAATCAACGCAAACAATCAACACCGCGGACTCGAAAACACGTGCGGGGGGAGTATGGCGTTCCACGAGAATAATCGCGAAGTCCTAATGTATATGCGTGAGGTACGCGGACTCACATATATATACTATACATATACGCGAGAGTCGCCGACATAGATTTGTGTTGTGGCC